CCCTTTTGTATGGTACTTTCTTTTTTTTTTTGGTCCGGTCGTGGGGCCTGAGCTCTGGGCCTGGGTGCTGTCCCTCAGCTCTTCAGCTCAAGGCTAGCGCTCTACCACTTGAGCCACAGTGCCACTTCCGGCTTTTTTTCTTTTTGCTTATGTGGTGCTGAGGATCGAACCCAGGGCCTCAGGCATGCAAGGCAAGTGCTCTACCACTGAGCCACCTTCCCAGCCCCTGTATGGTACTTTCACAATAAAAAAAATATAAATAAAATATAATATTATTATATAAAAATAAATAAATAAAATAAAATATATGCCCAAGGGTAAGATAAGCCAAGGCCAGAAAAAAAGAAGCCAAGGGCTGGGGTGGGCCTTAGTGGAAGAACACTTGTTTAGCATATGCAAGACTCTTGAGTTCTGTCTCCAGCAACACACACACACACACACACACACACACATACACACACACCCCAGAACAACAACAACAAAAAGGCAGCAAAATAGTATTAATAAGCAGGGTACAGGTGGCTCACGCCTATAATTCTAGCTACTTAGGAGACTGAGGTCTGAGGATCACAGTTCAAAGCCAGCCCAGGCAGGAAAGTCAGTGAGACTCAAACCACTCAGAAATGTGTTGATTCTTACAAGGAGATATTAAAGTGGGTTTGTTTTCCTTTGGGGTCTAGTTAAGACTATAGTTCATATGCATCAGTCGTGGGGCTTGAATTCTGGGCCTAGGTGCTATCTCTCAGCTCTTCAGCTCAAGGCAAGCACTCTATCACTCAAGCCACAGTACTACTTCCAGTTTTCTGGTGGTTTATTGGAGATAAGAATCTCATGCACTTTCCTGTCCAGGCTGGCTTTGAACTTCGATCCTCAAATCTCAACCTTGAGTAGCTAGGATTACAAGTAAGAGCCACTGGTACCCAGCTTGCCTCAGTTTGTTTTTTGTTTTGTTTTTTTTCCATAGCTCAGTACCTCTCTTCCTTCAGGTTTTTTACTTAACTATCTTTTCAATGATGAGTTTCTTTTTTTCCTTTTTTATTTTTTCCAGCCATGGGTCTTGAACTCAGGTTCTGGGCACTGTTCCTGGCTTTTTAAAAATGTGGTATTGAGGAATCTAACCCAGGGCTTTATACATGTTAGGCAAACACTCTACCGTTGAGTGGTATTCCCAGCGCCCCCCCCCCTTTTTTTTTCTGTTGGTCTTGGGGCTTGAACTCTGGGCTTGGGTGCTGTCCCTGAGCTTTTTTGCCCAAAGCTAGCATTCTACCCCTTTAAGCCACAGCTTCACTTTCCATTTTTGAGTGGGTAATTGGAAATAAGAGTCACTGACTTTTCTGACTGGGCTGGCTTCAAATTGCAGACCTCAGATCTCAGCCTCCTTAGTAGCTAGGATTACAGGTGTGAGCCACCAGCACCTGGCCATGCTTTCCTTTTTAACTCAGCCAAGCAGTGATATACACCAGAAGCCTAAGCTATTAGGGAGGCTGAGGCCAAAAGATTGCTTGTGCTCAGGAATCCAGATCACTCTGAGATTGGTATAGAGTACAGACTAAAATCTTGTCTCTTAAAAAAGAAAAAAAAAGGGGGGGGAGGGCTGGGAAGGTGGCTCAGTGGTAGAGCGCTTGCCTTGCATGCATGAGGCCCTGGGTTCAATTCCTCAGCACCACATAAGCAAAAAGAAAAAAGCCGGAAGTGGCGCTGTGGCTCAAGTGGTAGAGCGCTAGCCTTGAGCTGAAGAGCTGAGGGACAGTGCCCAGGCCCAGAGTTCAGGCCCTAGGACTGACAAAAAAAAGCAAGTTGGGCACTGGTGGCTCACACCTGTGATCCTATCTTCTCAGTAGGCTGAAATGTGAAGATTGCAGTTACAAGTCAGCCTAGGCGGCAAAGATTTATCTTCAGTTAACCAGCAGAAAGCCAAATGAAAGCACAAGGCCGTGAGTTCAAGCCTCATTCCCGCACTGACACACACACATGCAGACCTAGGCTCCAGGTGTAGTCTACGTGGGCAACACTGATGGCAGTCTGGCTTCCCATCCAGCTTACCTTTGCCATTAGCACAAATGCCCAAATTTGTCTTTTTTTTTTTTTTAAGTTAAATACTGTCTCAACCTACTGTGTGCTCCTCAATTCCCCCGTGACTGGGAGCAACACAATAAGGGAGACCAGAGTGTGGAACTGAGGTTTGATGTGCCAGAGGACCTGTAGTCTTCCGCCAGAGACAGGTTCCATTAACTAAGGTTTTTATTGATCTTGTGCAAGGAAGTAAGGTACAACTTCAACAAGTGACAATATTTTGTATACAAGTGGTAGGTGACCTTATTCTGGGAAAAGAGAGCTAAACAGTAAACAGCCTATAATTCGCATAAACCTAAATCTACCCTTAGGCTCCCACACAGTTTAGGGTAGAATCTGAGTTCCCATTAAGAAAGGACTGATTGACCTTTCCAGGAAAACTCTCAGTGTTCCTGGAGTGTACTGAGAGAAGGCATTCCAAACTCCCAATCCTTTCAGGGTCTCATAACGTGGATTTTTGGGCTCTCACAAAATACTGCTATAAACTGGGCACTAGTGGCTCATGCCTATAATCCTACTTACTCAGGAGGCTGAGATCTGAGGCAGGAAACTCTTTCATACTCTTATCTCCAATTAACAAAAAAAAACAAAAACAAAACTGGGAGTAGTGCTGTGGGTCAAAGTATTCCAGTGCTAGCCTTGAGCAAAAGGAGCTGAGCGACAGCGCTCAGACCCTGAGATCAAGCCCTACAACCAACAAAAACAAAAGAAACCCTGCTATACATTCTTCAAACATATAGTAAGTACTCATTAAACTTGTTGGACAACTGAATTTCTCAGTGTTTGTTGTCTTGGTGGAAGCTGGCTCATGTTTTATGCTATGTAGAATCTGAACATACTAGGTAGGGGCTAGAGAGGTGCCTTGAGCAGATGAAAGGACTGAAGCTTTGGAAGATGCTGAGCAGCTCTGGCAGAGGAACCTGGGACTAGTCCAGAAGAACAGGGACCTAGGGGCAGCAACAGAGTCTGCTTCTCTCCATGCTCTGGGAGGTAGACGACACGTGAACTTGTCTGGTCAGTCACTAGACAGACAACTGAGGTCATTCTGGACTCCTTAACCTCCACATCTCACCTCCCAACCAAGTTCTATGTTATAATTCAAGTGTCTTCAAAAGTTGGTAACTTACTTTTTTTTCTGGTCAGTTATGGGGCTTGAACTCAGGGCCCTAGGACTGTCCCTGAGCTTTTCTGCTCAAGGCTACTGCTTAACCATTTTGAGCCATAGCTCCACTTTTGACTGGAGGTAAGAGTTGTAAGAATCCTTCATGACCATCCCAGGGGACCACTCAGAGAGATTATCATTAGATTTATTAGAAGGGCCATATTTCCCCGAGAGAGAGAGCACACAGCATTTGCCCCTATCCAGGTGGCAGGTAGGTCTGGGAGAGGAAGTAAGGTAGGTGAGTGCAAGGTAGGTCTGGGTGGAGAGAGGGAGTGGCCAGCTGTATGGCGGGAACTCTAGGGCTGGGAAGAGCTCAGGTCTAGGTGGACCAAGAGTCTCTGGGACTTTCCTGCCCAAGCAGTCTTTGAACTGTTTTCCTCAGATCTCAGCCTCCTGAATAGCTAGGATTACAGGCTCAAGCCACCAGTGCCCCAACTGGTAACTTACTTTTTTGTGTGTGCTGGTACTGGGGCAATTTATGATTGGTGTTCTACCACTTGAACCATAACTCCAGTTCTGGCTTTTTGCCGGTTAGTTGTAGATAATTCTCTTGGATTTGTCTCTCCAAGATGGCTTTGAACTACAACGATCAGACCTCAGCCTCCTGAATAGTTAGGATGACAGCTTGAGCTACTGTGGCTTTAAGCTGGCCTGGTAACTAACTCTCTGCACAGCCACTATCATAGCCATCCTTTCCTGTAGAATGTTAAAGGCCTAGGTTACCCCTACTGTCTCCAAATTGCAGTTTTAAGTGATCCCTCTAAAGCACAAATTTGATCTTCGATTTTAAAATCTTTTGGTAGGGGTTTGGGATGTGGCTTACTAGTAGAGTGCTTTCCTAGCATGCATGAAGCCCTGTTTTCGATTCCTCAGTACCACATACACAGAAAAAGCCTGAACTGGCGCTGTGGCTCAAGTGGCAGAGTCCTAGCCTTGAGCAAAAGAACCTCAGGGACAGTGCCCAGGCCCAGAGTCCAAGCTCCAGGACTTGTAATAACAAACAAACAAAAAAAGCAAAACAACAACAAACTTTTGCTGGGTTCCTCGCTGCCCTGGGGGCCATGCCCAGCCTGCAAAGCCCTACCTGCACCTGGACAGCACTCTCTCTAAATGCATGCATCTTCGGTTTAACTCCATCCCAGGGGTGCAGGACTTTAAATTCCTGCAGACTATCTCTGCTGAGGGCCCAAACCAAGAAAATCCCTCTTTTTGAGGAAGCTTTTTCTACCCAAGCTTCCCCCTCAGGCTCACCTCACGCATGCTTATCTATTGACACCCGCGTGGTTGCGGGTGCGTAAAGGAAGTACTGCCCTAGCAAGTGCTTGCGTGGGTCACCTCTGCGTCAGGGAGAGAAGACAGGGAGGTCGCCCTAGGGAGGTGAAGAACCCGGAGCCAGATCTGGAAGCCAATGAGTGAGGGTGAAGGGTGTTGCGCTGCGTCAGCGAGGTCCGAGCCGCCCTTGGGAGGAGGAGCCCAGGGGCCTGCTCCTCCTGACGCCGGAGCGCAGCGACCCCTTTCCACCAAGGGACGCTGAGCACTTATTGCCTGCGGATCCGGAGACGGTAGCCCGGCTGGGGCTCAGTCGATCGCCTTTCATAGGCCTCGGCAAACTCGGGTAGCAGCAGCAACCGGAGCGGAAGGGGCAGTCACCGCGGCGAGGCCGAGGCGCCGAGTCCCAGATCCCCGGCCCCGGGGGAGGAGCGGCGGCCTCCTCCGTGCGCAAACGCGCCGCCCAAGTTCGGGGGCGGGGCCTGGACGGTCAGGGGCGGGGCCAGACGCGAGACCCGCCTCCACCAGCGCCTGTGAGCCGCCGAGTGCGTGGCCCGGGCTTGTTTTGGGGAGGCGGGGGCTTCAGGTGAGCCCGGGCATGGAGGGATCTGGGAGACCTCCCTCGAGGTCAAGCCATCGGTCTGACCGGAGGTCCATCTGTCCTGCCGTTCTCCCACCACCGCTTCCGCGGAGAATGGGAGAACAAAGGGAGGGGGCGGCCCTGGGGCCCCTGAGGGATTTCGGGGTCCCAGGTATCCGGCTCCGCCCACTGACACTTTCGGTTTCTCCCCGAGTCAGAGGCGCCGCCCTAGAGACCCTGGGCCGGCGCTGGGCGCAGCCAGCCGCCTCTTCGCGTTTGCCTGTCCGTCTTTGTGTCTGTCTCTGTGTCTGTCTGACTGCCTCCGAGCTTGCCTCCACTTCCACAACTAAGCCTCCAGGACACGACTCCCTGCACACCTTCACCCCTTTCCCATGGCAGGTAAGCAGGTGTTAGCTAGGGGAGGAGGAGAGGGTCTCCGTTATCCCCCACCCCACCAAAGTGGGTGCCAGCTGCCGCACACATCCTCCAGGAATGTGCTCCGACGGGCTGCGTGGGGCCCTCCCTTCCTCCCGGGGAGCCACCGCCCTGCTCCCCCACCCCATCTTTCTCCGCCAATTCCTACCACATTTCCCGCGGAGCCTCGTGGTCCTTGGGCTGGGAAACAAGATGAAGCTGCGTGCGGGGTACCTTTCTAACTCAGGCTTGCCCTCCACAGGCTACATGCCCCCTACAGGCTACGCCCCTTCGCCCCCACCTCCCTACCCAGTGACCTCCGGGTACCAGGAGCCTGCGCTGCATCCTGGCCCCGGGCAGGCGCCAGTGCCCCCCCAGGTGCCTGCCCCCACGCCTGGCTTCGCCCTCTTCCCTTCGCCGGGTCCTGTGGCCCCAGCGCCTCCTGCTCCCTTCTTGCCACTGCCAGGGGTGCCTTCTGGCCTCGAATTTCTGGTGCAGGTAAGTGGGAGGGTGATGGAAAGGGGACCTGGGCATTCAGGCTGGATGGCTGATTCAGCACTGCTCCCACTCTTTTCAGATTGATCAGATCTTGGTTCACCAGAAGACTGAGCGAGTGGAAAGTAAGTGGAAGGAGGAGCCGGGTTGGGCCTCGTAAACCTAGCAGGGATGGTGGGCGTCTCGGTCGGCGAGGCGCCTGAGCCTTAGCATGTCACCCTTAGCGTTCCTAGGCTGGGAGACCTGTAACCGGTACGAACTGCGCTCAGGGGCCGGGCAGCCTTTGGGTCAGGCTGCGGAGGAGAGCAATTGCTGCGCCCGTCTGTGCTGTGGCGCCCGCCGGCCTCTGCGTGTCCGCCTGGCGGATCCCGGGGACCGTGAGGTGCTACGCCTCCTCCGCCCGCTCCATTGTGGTTGCAGCTGCTGCCCCTGTGGCCTCCAGGAGGTGGGCGGAGTGGAACGGTGCCCTGGGGAGGCTTCGGTGTGGGGGTGGAGTGGGGAGAAGTTGAGGAGGAGAAGGGCCAATGATGGGGCAGGCTCAGGGTGAGGGGTGTGGCTTGTGAGGGGATGGGTGGTGGTGATGGGAGTTGAGTGAAACTGCCCACCAGAGGGATGGGAAGAGCCAGGACCAGTGAGGGCTTGGGCCAGGTTGCTCTGCCTCCTCCAATGGCCGTCTCTCTCTCACTCTAGATGGAAGTACAGGCTCCTCCTGGCACCACCATTGGCCACGTGCTGCAGACTTGGCATCCCTTCCTCCCTAAGTTCTCCATTCAGGATGCTGATCGCCAGACTGTCCTCCGAGTGGTGGGACCTTGCTGGACCTGTGGTTGTGGCACAGATACCAACTTTGAGGTACCGGGAATAAGGGAAGATTTCCTAGCCCTTCATGAATCAGGATAGCAGCTTCCATGAGGCAAGATGGCTTGATGAAAGTCAAAGCACTGAGTTCCTTAGTCTAAAGCCATTATGACTCCTACCAGATTTCTAGTTTTCTTTTAATCAGAAAAGGGATACTAGCTGGGCTTTGGTGGCTCATGTCTGTAATCGATTACTAGCTTCCCAAGAGGTTCAGATCCAGAGGATCTAGATCAGAAGTTATCCCTGGCAGGAAAGCCAGTGAAACTCATAAGGCTTAGCTGAAAGAAAATGGCCACATGGTTCAGGCAGAAAAGAGTTTGGGAGGGGGGCAGGAGATGGAGGCATGTGCAGAGAGGGGAAGAGAAGGGAAAAGAAGAGGCCATTTCTGGTGGGATTGGAGTTAATGTGAGGGGGAGTGGCTGTGGAATCTATCGGGTACAAAGGAAGCATGACAGGGGCGGTCCAGGATATGATCTCAGAGAAAGAGGCAGTAACTGCCAGTTACCTGGGTTACAAATGCTGGGCGGAGACTTCTAGGGAAGGGCCCATGTCTGCACCCAGGAAGACTAGTGAGGAAGGGGCCATTTTTTCACGGGCACACCTAACAGACTCCATCTCCAAAATAACCAGCAAAAAAGCAGGGCTGGAAGAGTAGCTCAAGTGTTATGCCAGCTGTGCAAGCAAGCAAAACTGAGTTTAAACCTCAGTACTACCAAAAGAAAACAAAAAGAAAGATGATACCATAAAAGTATGGGGAAGAAAATTACATTTTCTAATTGGGGAGGTAGAAGGATGATTACTCTTTAAGTCTGCCATATTGCTGAGCCTATGTGACAGATGTACATGAGACTCTGGTTTAGGCCCTGCCACAAGCACTAATTTGACATCCTGGCTTGTCTTGCCAACCTAAAAGTCCAAATGACCCAACCAATTTGAGGTCCAGGTGATTACCTTCTCACCATGCCAACTTGGAGCCTGGAGAACCCAAAGAAAGAATTTTGGAGTGAAATTTGGGGAAATAACCTTGGTTTCTAGAAGACAAAGGTCCCCCACAGAACCTTGAGTTCTTTAGGGCATTATTTCTTGTGCAGATTAGGGAGAAAAAAAAGGTGTCAACCAGAAGTTTTCTGTTCAGGTGCTTTACGTAAGGTAACTTGTAAAAAGTGAGTCACTTGTTAGTCAGCGGGAGGTTCTATGATGAGAACCAATTAGAAAGGAGATTATTGTGTGGATGGGAATGTGTGGAGTATGGGGTTCTCATAGGACTAGAAAGTCCCCAGTCTTGAGCCTTTTCCTACCTCAGACTGGGCTGCAGGAAGGATCCCAGAGCTATTGGACAGTGGTGGAAGCAGATGGACAGGATATCGAAGGAAATAGCTTCAGTCCTAGTCACTGGAGACTGAGCATAGAGAAAAAAAAAAGCCAGGAAGTCACTGTGAGTTACCACCCACTTCAAAAGGGCTTGTTTGCTGCTGAGCTGAGAGGCCAGTGGAAACTGTATGCAGAGCCTACAGCTACTTGTGCACTGTCCCATCATTCATAGGCTTGGGTCATCTCTAGAAGAGGCTCACATGTAATGCTAGACAGAGTATTCCCTGCTTTTCAGATTATAGAGTCACTCCTTTGAGCAGACATATCCTCTAGGAGCCTACTTAGCTGGCAAAGTACAGCCAGATTTTGGCAGCTTCCAGTGATGTCTCAATTAGGCTACTGTACCAACTGTGCGTGTTGAGAACATTGGTAACCAAAGCAAACCTAGCAACCAGCATATACCACTGATGTTCAAATATGTCACTCATGGTCTTTGGAGAGTAACAGATTTGAGTCTGAGTCTTTATTTTTGCTCTGCCCTTGTAGCATGATCCCAGGGGCCTTGTTACCCCAGCTGTTATATGGAAGCCCAAAGTTGTTGAAAAGATTCACTGGATGGATATAGGGTCTATACCCAACTGTAGAGTGAAATTAACAGCATCCACCCAACTGTGGAGGGTAATTAAAGGCATCTGCCCCAGCTGAGACCTCCCTCCCTCCTGACAGGTTAAGACTAAGGATGAATCCCGAAGTGTGGGCCTCATCAGCAAGCAATGGGGAGGGCTGCTTCGAGAAACCCTCACAGATGCAGATGACTTTGGCCTCCAGTTTCCAGTGGATCTGGACGTGAGGGTGAAGGCTGTGCTGCTAGGAGCCACGTTCCTCATTGTGAGTGGGCTGCCCCTGCCCCTCCTCTTCCTGTCACTCTTGTGTTGTCATTTCCTAACTTCTTGAAAGTTGGGGGCCGTTGTTATGGGGGATTACCAGTCCAGACCTGGGTTGTAATAACTGAACCAAGTTGGCCCAGCCAGATCTCCTGTTGACACTGGCTTCTCCACAGGACTACATGTTCTTCGAGAAGCGAGGAGGCACTGGACCCTCTGCCATCACCAGTTAGAAGCCACCTCAGGATGAGGAGACCATCATCTCAACAAGAATTCAAGATGGTCGATGGCCGTGGCCTGGACACTCCTCAGAGGCAGCCCCTTCCATGTAGAGGACAAACAGGGATGTGTTGAGTGCCTGGGATCTATGTTACCCTATTCCTATCATCTCCCCCGGCCTCCTTCACCTGTGGCCCAGAAGAAGGGGGTATGTATGAGTCTTTGCCTGCTACCTCCCACCACCTCCCTGTAGTTCTTGGGCACACTGGCATGTCAGCTTTCAAACTTTCCTTGCTCACTCCCTCCCACATCCTTTAGGGCCTCATTACCAGAGGCCTTTTTTTTTTCCTGCCAATACTGGGTTTTTGAACCTTGGCCTCCCACTTGAGCTAGGGCCCCAACCACCAGAGGGAGGTTTTAAACCACAAAACTATGGGTTTACAACAGGGCTGGTGGGAGATGGGCAGCACCAAAGATGGAAGATATGCCACCCTTCCCCTGCTTGGCCAGTTAGTTCTGTCTCAGACTATGGCACTTTCAGGGGCTTTCCACCTGTCCACCAACAGCTGTAGAGGTTGGACCCCAGTGCCAACTTCCTTTCCCCCTTGGGCCCTGCCCACAGCTGGTGCTTGCTGTAGCTTCCTGTGCCTTATTTAACCACCCCTTCCTTCCCTTGCTCTAGGAAGGAGGCTACGTCTTTGTATGTTGTATTCATATAAACTTTGTAACTTTTTGAACATTGGAAGATGTATGTAATTGGGGAAGATAGAAGAAAGTTGGTATGGGGAAAAATCAAAAGGAACTAACAATAGTTGAGCTGTTGTAGTTAATCCGTGCTGTTAGGACCAAATGCCTCTGAGTCCAAGAGGGCAATTTTCATTACCCATGGTGGCTCTGGATCCTATCAAGACATTTGGAGTCATGTGCCCCAATTCAATATGGCTGCTTCCATCATGCAAGATGGATGCCCCATAGCATCCACTGAGGTATCTAATTGAGGATGACCACTTCATCATTGCAACAAGTAGAAGCTTCCTTTCCTCTCAGTCCTCCTCATCTCAGGCATGGTATAGATCCTTCTTGGCATGGTTAATGGTTCTTTGGCCCTTGGAGGCCAGAGGGCAGGGTAGGGAGGAGATAATCAGTGCCTGATCCTGGACTCCCCTGGGTTCTTCCATTCCTGCTACAGCAGGTAGGAAAGTCTGCCTCTCTGAAGACCTTTTCTGACCCTGCTTGGTCCTCAGTAACCAGCCCTGTGAGGGCTTCAGGTGCTCTATGCTGGTGTCTGTGCCCAAGGAAGCAGAACTCAGGACCGGGCCAGGACGTAGCGGCTGGCGGCTGAGAGGTCCCACTGGTAATGCTCCAGGATGCGCCGGCAGTCAGCTCTGGACCGGCTACTCAGGTGGAAAAGGTGGTCTACCTGTGGAACGAGAGGGAGGGCAGCTGCTGACAGGCGGGCAACATGGTAGGAGAAGAGAGAAGCCTGGGAGAGGAGTCTGACTTTACCTTGAGATTCCGAATGGCTGTAACCACATCTCCTCCAGAGGCTCTCAGAGCCACCTGGCACTCCTGGTGGGTGACTCCATGCACGCTCAGCTCTACCTGTGGATGACAACAGTTTTGTTCCGATCTCTGCGCTTTCCTGCAAGGCCCTTTGGATACTAGACCATTTTAGTGAGGCCTCACCTCTATAATCTTCCTCTGCCACTCAAGGTCAGGCAAGGGGCTTCCAGAAGGGGAAGTGGCTTTATTGGCTCCGGGTGCTCCAGGGCATTGGGTGTGGGGGAGTTCTCTTTTGGGTAAGGGAGGCCGTGCCCTGGGGGGCTGGCTGGGCTGAGAAGAGCTGGAGGCAAAAGTAGGGCGTGGAGGTAGGTCTGTGGGTCCTCGGGGAACAGCTCTGGCATGTCGAAGTTCTGGGGGGCTTGAACCACCCCCTGTTGGGCGAGGGCCCAAGGACAGAACTGACTCCAGACTCTTGGAAATGCCTGCACAGTTGAGAAAGAAATGACTTAACAGGATGCCCAGATGTTGGGTCTTAGCTTCTTGCTTGCTGTCTTCACCTGCACTGAGCTGAATGCTTTTTACTAGATTTTTTACATGAGCTAGGTGTATTAGGTAGGATAACAAAGCATGTGGGGAAATGATTGTTAAGACTTAGGTAGCTAGACTGGATAGGATGGCTCCAGCCAATAATAATCTTAGCTATTTGGGAGGGAGAGATTGGGGAATCACAGTTCAAGGCCAGCTTAGGCATTAGATTTCTTGAAACACTATCTCAGTCAGTGGTGGGGCACACATACCAGTTATTAGAAAAGCACAATGGCTAAGAGTGCCGCCCACACCTATTAGCCCCAGAAACATGAGGAAGCACAAGTAGGAATATCATACCCCAGGGTAGCCTAGGCATAAATGAGACTCTACCTCAAAAATAACCAATGGAGCCGGGTGCCAGTGGCTCATGCCTGTAATCCTAGCTACTCAGGAGGCTGAGGATCACAGTTCAAAGCCAGCCCAGGCAAGAAAGTCCGTGAGACTCTTATCTCCATTAACCACCAGAAAACCAGAAGTGGCGCTGTGGCTCAAGTGATAGAACGCTAGCCTTGAGCTGAAGAACTCAAGGACAGCACCCAGGCCCAGAGTTCAAGCCCTACGACTAACAAAATAAAAATAACCAATGGATCTGGGTGCCAATGGCTCATGCCTGTAATCCTAGCTACTCAGGAGGCTGTGATCTGAGGATTGTGGTTCGGAGACAGCCCAGGCAGGAAAACCTGTGAGACTCTTACCTCCAATTAAGTAACAAGAAGCTGGAAATGGCCTTTTGTGGCTCAAGTAGAAGCTCAGAGGCAGCGCATAGGCCCTGAGTTAAAAAATAATGGAGAGCTGGGAATGTGACTTAGTGGTAGAGTGCTTGCCTAGCATGCATGAAGCCCTGAGTTCGATTCTTCAGCACCACATAACAGAAAAAGCTGGAAGTGGTGCTGTAGCTCAAATAGTAAAATGCTAGCCTTGAACAAAAGCAGCTCAGGGACAATACCTAAGCCCTGAGTTCAAGCCCCAGGACTGGCAAAAAAAAAAAAAAAGCTAATGGAAGATGGGGCTGGAGGTATGACTCAGGTGGTTGCATACCTGCCTAGCAAGCTCAAGGCCCTAAGTTCAATCTCCAATATGGTCAAAAAAGAAAGACAAAACAACTAAGTGGCTGGGGGCCCAGAGAACTAAGAGCATAGGGCCAGAGTGGGAAATGCTGACCAGTGGGTAAGATAGGGGGCCTCCAGTCTCAATAATAGCTATGATGGGGCTGGGAATGTGGCTTGGTGGTAGAGTGCTTGCCTGGCATGCATGGGTTTGATTCCTCAGTACCACATAAACAGAAAGCCAGAAATGGGCCTTAACTCAAGTCCTTGAGCTGCTTTTGCTCAGGGACAGTGCCCAGGCCCTGAGTTCAAGCCCTGGGACTCAAAAAAAAAAAAAATAGCTAGGATTCCCACAGACAAGGGGAGGGAAGAAATCTTACATGCACAGGCACAGATACAGGGCAAGGGGCAGAATTGGAAGGTGGTTCTTGATCTCCAGCCCCTGGAGTCCCACCAAACCCACCTTTCATTTTTTGCAAGGGCACATTCCTTCTCTGGCCTCGTGCGGCTGGTAGATTCCAAAGATTTGCCTTCTCTCTGTCCCTGTTAAGAGAGGTGACCCAGTTCATCCTCCACCCTAATCCCTACCCTCACATATCAGTCAGTATTCTCTCACCAAGAACAGGCTTCCAGATGTGCTGGGACTTGGGGTGGGGGAAAAGCTCCAACAGGGAAGCCAGCCCTGCTTCACCTCCAGCTGTGCTCTGGTCCTGTCCCCAAGGGTTTTTTTTTTCCCAAAGGAGTTACTACATTTTGTCAGATACCACCACCACTGTGTGACCACCCCAGGCTAGCTGTGTCTCCTCACCTATCTGTGCTTCCTTGGTGTCGCTCTCCCCTGAGTGGGGAGCCTCTGTGGACTGGACGGGTAGCTAGTGGGCCCCCTAAATCCACCAGTGTCACTGCTGAGGCTGGGAAGTTGCCCATTTTGAAGGTGCGACCATTCTGGCCTTTCCAGGTTGTAGAGTCTGGGCTGTAGGAAGAGGAGCAGAAGAATAGGCAGAAGCATGAAGAAGAGTGGCCATTAAAGCCAGGTGCTGGTGACTCGGCCCCTGTAATCCTTGCTATTCAGGAGGGTGAGATTTGAGGATTGTGGTTTGAAGCCAGCCTGAGCAGGAAAGTCCATGAGACTCTTAGCTCCTCCAATTAACCACCAAAAAACCAGAGGTGGCACTGTGGCTCGAAGTGGTAGAATGCTAACCTTGATGAAAAAGCTTAGGGACAGTGCCTAGGCCCTGAGTTCAAGCCCCATAACCACCACCACCAGTAACAAAATTGACCACTGAGTTAAAGCCACATTTAGCTTACCAGGCTGCATCTGTCTAGAAGAAGGAAATCCTTTTTTCCTCCAACAGAAAAGGGGTCTATGGGCTATCTGGGGCCCTGATAGAGTGAGACTGTGTTAGACCTGGGCCAAGAAGAGAGAGAAGACCCACAAGACCAGAGTTCAAGGTGTTAGGGAATACTAGAAAGCTAGGTCTCAAGGGTGAGTGGGTAACTAGGTACCCTAGCTCACTCTTATAATCCTAGCAACTCAGGAGGCTGAGCTCTAAGGATTGTAGTTTGAAGCCAACCAAGGCAGGAATATCTCCAACTAACCACCAAAAAGCCAGAAGTGGAGCCCTCAGCAAAAAAACAAAAACCTAGTACTGGCACATAAGAGGAGGGAGAAAGAAAAAAAAAAAGAAGACCCACAAGGCCAGTGTTAAAAGAAGTGGGGAAAAGTAGAGAAGTGACTAGAACTCAAGAAAGATGAGAAAGGGAGGCCTCCCCTGGGAACACTTGGGATGCCTGAAGTTGTCACCTGCCCTCGATGATAGTGATGGGGTCACCAGACTCCATCCGCAAAGCACCTGACTCGGTGACATCTCTCACACATCTTCCCTCACGAGGCCAGGCCTGTGGAGACAAAAGAAGGGAAGGCTAGGCTTTTGGCCTGAGGCACCCATCAATCAGACCCATACTAGGTATGTCTTCTAGGCTGGGTCCTGAGTGGTACTGTTCCTATCTCCTAGTTGTAACCCACTTAGAACTAGGGGAGAACCACCTGGATTCCTTACCAACCTGGACAGGCCCAGGATGCAGAAAGTATCCTACGGGGGTCAAGGAGAGAGCCATCCTGGTCACTAATTTTACTCTACACCCAAGCCTGTCAGGTCCGTGTCCTAGGTACTTCTGGGAAATTTCTATTCCTTACCAGTCCCACTTCCTCAACCCATGCCTCTTCTCATTGGTTTGATTTGGTTTTGCCATACTGAGGTGTAAATTTAGGGCCTTGAAATTGCTAGACTAGCATGATTGCACAGCCATACCTTTAGCCCATCTTCCTTTCACTTCTCTCTCTTTTTTTTTTGGTCATGGGACTTGAACTCTGGGCCTGGGCTCTGTCCCTTGGCTCTTTAGCTTAAGGCTAGTGCTGTACCACTTGAGCCACAGGGCCTCATGCATGCAAGGCAAGCACTCTACCACTGAGCACTTCCCAGCCTCTTCCTTTCACTTCTAATTCATGGCCATTGTCAAGGCAATCCCTCTAAGTCATTCTTGGATCAGACTAGAATGAAATAATATGTAAAGTTGGTTTGTAATTCCTTGCCTTTCTATGGTTCCAATAAACCCTCAGAGTAGGGGCTGGGAATGTGGCTTAGTGTAGAGTGCTTGCTTAGCATGCATGAAGCCCAGGGTTTGATTCCATGTACACAGAAGAGACCAGAAGTGGAGCTTTGGCTCAAGTGGTAGAGTGCTAGCCTTGAGCAAAAGAAGCTTAGAGACAGAGCCCAGGCCTGGAGTTCAAGCCCCAGGACTGGCAAAAACAAAATAAAACCCTCAGAGTAAATAAAAGGACTAAATTCCTTTAATAGCAGATATAGGGCTGGGAAGGTGGCTCAGTGGTAGAGTGCTTGCCTTACATGCATGAGGCCCTGGGTTCAATTCCTCAGCACCACATAAGCAAAAAGAAAAAAGCTGGAATGGCGCTGTGCTCAAGTGGTAGAGCGCTAGCCTTGAGCTGAAGAGCTGAGGGACAGCGCCCAGGCCCAGAGTTCAGGCCCCATGACCAGACCGCCCCCCCCCCCCCCCCAAAAAAAAAAAACAGCAGACACAGGGATTTAGGGAAGGGCCTTAGAGTCACATAGACTGGTGCAGTTGTGTGACTGTGACATCACTAATCTATCAGTATCTAAATCACTCTATTTGTTTAATGGAGATAAAAATAATTACCTCATGAGGTTGTTGAGACAACTAAATGACTGTGTAGGAAGGTCTTAGTACAGTGAGTATGACTATAAGAAGGCCTAAAGCATGGTACAGTGAGTATCTCATACTGTCAAGTACTCTGTGCCTAGCCAGAATTTCGTAACATGCCCAGGAACCCTCTGGGAGGCAGCCCTGCTCACTTGGTAACCTTATTACTTCTATTTCCCCTCACCCCACTTGAGGCTTCTTTTCCCTGTCAAACACTCACAGGGACCTACTGCCCTCTCCTGAGCCCCTTTTCTGGCTCAGACACAGAAAGCCCAGCCTTTCAGCATACTGCCTCCCCAGGTCCCAAAGCACTCTGAAAGCAGGGATTCAATGTCTTGTACAGAGCTTGATCCCAGAGTCCAGCACAGGCATCAGGTTACATTGGTCTTAACGCATGGAATCCTGTGATAGAGAACAGAGGAAAGCCAGGCTATGTGTATCTAGGGAGTGGAGGGTCCCCACCTCTTGGAGCAGCCCTTCCAGGTTGGCAAAGCTTGGACGATCCGCAGGGTGGGGGGCCCAGCAACGCAAGGCAATCGAGTAGAGGGCTCTAGAACAGAGGGGAGGCCTTGGCAGCCGAGCTCGTTCCTTCTCCAGCCGATGCAGAATGAGATATGGTGGGACCCCAGCCCAGGGTTCTTCGCCTCCAGAGAACATCTCCCACAGCGTCACTCCAAACATCCACACATCGGAGGCGGACGAGAAGGCTCCTTGGTGCAGGCTCTCTGGGGCACACCTGCGGAAGTAGAAGCACCCAGGAAGTTTGCCTTCTATTCAGTAGTACCCACAGCCAGGGTGCTCCTGTCTTCCTTGTCTTCCTTTTCAAGCCCTTCCAGGTCTGATGAACTCCTGGTCCCCGCCTCCTTTAGAGGACCAGCCCCCCTCCAAATGGACCTGGCTGGTCTGTTGCCCAATCCCAGCTGGAGCCCACCCACCAACAGAGCGCCTTGCTCACCAGGCATAGGGGATGGGGCGGGGCCCGCCCATGACATAGCGCCCGTGGGCGCCACCTAGAGGCCGCACCAGCCCGAAGTCGGCCACTTTAATGGTCTGTGGGGAGGCCAGCAGCAAGTTGCGGGTAGCAAGGTCCCGGTGCACCAGCCCGCGGGCCCCCAGGTAGGCCATGGCCCCTGCTAACTGCCTCAGGAAGAGGCAGAGCAGGACCACGGGAAGTGGAGGTGTTGGGGCTGGGGCAGTTAGGCGTGCATGCAGGGAGCCCAGTGGTGCCAGCTCCATCACCTGTAGGATACAGTGGTCTGAGCCATGGTCTGGCCCCAGCAGATACTCCTGCCACACACCAGCTCCAGGGCTGCAGGGGTACCAGCATTAGCATCTTCTCACCATCTGCAGAGGCTGGCCCAATACTAGGCCATGCAGTTGCAGCACATGTGGGTGCTCCAGGTTCATCATGATGGACACCTCTCGGAGAAAGTCTCCCAGCTCAGTGCCTACTGGACCTTCAGGACCCGCCCTAAGGGATTTGACAGCCACTGGGATCTATAGGTGGAGGCAAGTGTGTAGGTGTGTTGGGGGAGAAAGCATGAAGACTGCAAGAGAGCTAGGAGTGGGTGACTCATGCCTATTATCCTAACTACTAAGGAGGCTGAGATTTGAGGCTCAGTTCCAAGCCAGCCTGGGCAGAAAAATCCATGAGACTTTTCTCTCCAACTAACTAGCAACAAGCCATCAGTGGAGGTGTGGCTCAAATGCTGTAGTGCCAGACTTGGGTAAAAAAAAAAAAAGCCAAGTAAGAGCTTGAGACCCTGAATTCAAGCTCAGTACAGGCCTATGCACATGTGTGCATACCCCTACACACATACATGAGCACATACCATACACACTGGCATGCCCTCCTCCCCCACAAAAAAAAAATACATGTTTCAAGGAACAGCTTGTTCAGGTACCCTGGGTGAAGTTTACTTTGTAGACACTCACAGTCTGGCCATTGGGCAGTGTCCATAGCCCTTGATGTACCACACCAAAGCAGCCTGAACCCAACAGCTTGCCTCTGCACACAGCACCTTCTGGGATCAGACATTTGAGGCCCCCATCTGGCTCTGGGAGGACTGGCAAGCTCTCTGAGGGTGTAGTGGTCTTCCTCTGCTCAGGGGCAAATCCCCCCAGGATCTGAAATAGGAGTCGGCACTCAGGTATGCAAGGCCCTGCAGAATCCTCCCTGCCCCCTCTAAGCCCGTTAAACCCCAGGACCACATACCTTGTAGACCCAGTTCTTAGGCTTGATTCCTGAACGGTATCTCTTCAGAGATTCAGCCAGTCTGCGCTGGGCTAAAGGAGGCAAGAATCAGAGGGCTTGGGTGGAGGTGGGGTGCAAAAATATTTATAGGCAAATGAGGGCCGGGGTGAAGGAGCGTGGGGTCCACAATGGATAGACTGGGGAAGGGCATTAGGGCAGGGGTTCCTCACCAGGTCTGCCCATGCCAATTCCATCCAGGTCCTCAGGCCTTACAAAGTCGAAATGCTCTGGCCTAGTGACATTAAGTTCTTCAAGGATGGGCCGATAAAACTGGGCCAGCTGAGTGTCCCGGAGCAGCTGAAGTAGCCACAGGGAGCTGGCCTCGGGGAGCATGTCTGGAGAAGGACGTTTAAGGATGACAGCAGTCACCCAAGACACTCAAATGCCATAAGCAGGACATCTGCCACCATCCTCAATGCCCCCCATCAGAAACTCAGAATATAGGGCACATGAGAGGGATCAAGGAACTCTGCCGCTTATATACACATCTCAGGAAGCACACTTCCTTTTCCCCAAGTCTGTAGGTGCTCTTCCCTTGTACCACTGAGAAACATGTCCCGTTCATACCTGAGATTTCAAAATATTACCTACCCAAACTAGACTCTAGCTACACTCCTGGCACAACTCTAGAAATATGAAATACTGATCCTGCATCCCTAGGATACCCAGATATAGATTTCTGTAGACCTGAGCTACACCCTTGCATACACTTGAGATACCTCCCCTCCCCGCGCATGAGGCATTTTTGCCTGGGACACACACCAAAGACACTCAGATATCACATACACACATACACACACTCACACACACACACACACACACACACACACAAAGATACACTGTCTCTCATACATATTGAGACAGATACACTGCAAAACATGCTTAAGACAGCTAGATACACTCCAATATGCACTGTGAGATGCCCAAGTTTGCTTTTCCATACCCTCTCACATGCAAGTACTTGAGACACAGCAATTCACTGCCTCCATACATTTAAGATACCCAGTTAGGCCACCTTACATGTCTGAGGCACCAAGACTCATAAACTCACAACAAATCAGGCACCAGTGCCTCATGCCAATAATCCTAGCTACTCAAGAGGCTAAATTCTGAGGACTGGGATTTGAAACCCACCCTGGGAAGATATATCCAAGAGATCTTTTTTCTTCTTTTCTTTTTTTACGTGTGAGACTGGGTCTTGAACTTGGTACCTGATGCTTTGGCTCATTGGCTAATCCTCTACCAACTGAGCCATGCTTCCAACTCCCTGACAGATTCTTATCAACTACTACAAAACTGGAAGTGGAGCCAGGCACTGGTGGCTCACACCTGTAATCTTAGCTACTCAGGAGGCTGAGATCTGACCATCGCAATTCAAAGCCAGCCCAGGCAGGAAACTCCAAGAGATGCTTATCTCCAATAAACCACGAGAAAATCAGAAGTGGCGCCGTGGTTCAAGTGGTACAGCGCTCGTCTTGCGCTGAAGAGCTGAGGGACAGTGCCCAGGACCAGAGTTCAAGCCCCACGACCGACCAAAAAATAAATAAATAAAAACAAAAACAACTGGAAGTGGGGTAGTAGTGGCTCAAGTGGTAGGATACTCATTTTGAATAAAAAAACAAACAATAACAACAACCAAACTGAAGGACAGCACTTAGGCCCTAAGTTCAAGCTCCAGTAGCAGCACAAAAACAAAACCTTCTCTAGGCAAGCATTCCTCCCTCTAACTCTCACACCACCCAAAGGTCATCCAAGGATCATAGCTAAAAAGCTACCCAAGAAGGCAACATGGGAAATTAAACAGGCATTTTGTGATGGGCTGCTAAGTGAAGGCCAGTGTGATCTCAAGGATTGCCCACAGAGCCTCCTTGACTCCACTTCAAAGTGGCTCCACCAACCTTCAAGAAAGGAGGCTCCAGGCCTCTAAGTACTGGCTGTCTGCACAGATGCTCTTACACACACACACACACACACACCTGGACACAGGTATACCACCCCTCTCCCCTCTCCCCTCTCCTCTCCCCTCTCTCCTGTCCTTAAGCATAGAAGAAACACAGGATCCCAGGCCTAAAAGGCAGGCCTGGCACTGCATGTCAGAGGGAGACAGGAGGAAAGGAAGAACCCAGGGAGAGGAGGGGAGACTCACCTCCCCCACCCCACACACCTTAAGACCTCAACAGACTACTGCACTGCTCTTTTGGCCGCAGCCCACTGTTCCCCAGTTAGATATGGACCCTTACCTGGTGAAGGCGGAAGCAGCGGCTGTGGAGCCGCCCAGATTGCCAGCACTAAATCCTGGGCAGGGCGGAACCTGAGGCCGCAGAGGGCGGGTCCTGGCAGCTGGCTCAGAGCCAGGTAAGGGCAGAGCCTCCAATATTCCTGGGGCACCAGATGAGGGTGGCCTGGATGCCTGGCACTCCCTTCCCTTCTTCAAGGCTGGCTGGCCCCCAGGCTAGGAGAAAAGTCCCTTACCTGACTTCCCTCACGTTCTCTTTCCAGCTCTCCAAAGAACTTTCCATCCCTTCCAACTCTTTCCTTTGGATGGAGCGCCCTCTCTCCCTAAACCTTTCATCTGTCTCTCACCAGGAGCCACCTGCCAATAGGTAAGCACCTGGTAGAGTTACCTGCTTAGGCTAGGAGGAATGTAGGCTAAGCAGAGCATAGGCACTGCCCAGTACTAGGAGAGTGACCCTCACTGCACAATTTAACTCAGTAGGGGAAGCCAGGCCAGTGGCTCCTTTCACTGACATTTGGGGGTGTGGGTGTGGGTGTGAGGTGTACATGCGCACATACACGTGTGCTGGTACTGAGGTTGAACTCAGGGCCTTTCATTTCCACTTGGCTTTTTCCCTCAAGACTAGCGCTCTACCACTTGAGCCAAACCTCCACTTTCCACACCTCTACTTCTGGATCTCCTCCCCTGCCTCCCCCCCCCCTCCCCGATTAATTAGAAGAGTCTCAAAGATTTTTCTACTCTGGCTGGCTTTAAATCAAGATCCTCAGATCTCAGCCTCCTAGGTACCTAAGACTGCAGACATGAGCTACCAGGGCCTGTCTCACTGACAGTTTTTGGTATAACATTAGCTCTTTGGGGCTGGGAAGTTGGCTCAGTGGGTAGTGCTTGCCTCGCGTGCATGAGGCCCTGGGTTCGATTCCTCAGCACCACATTAGCAGAAAAAGCTGGAAGTGGCCCTGTGGCTCAAGTGGTAGGGCACTAGCCTTGAGCTGAAGAGGTAAGGGACAGCGCCCAGGCCCAGAGTTCAGGCCCCACGACCGGACCCTCCCCCCCCAAAAAATTAGCTCTTTTATGTAGCTTCTGCCCTTCTCAGGGCCCTGAACTCTGCCACTCAGCCTGTGGCCACAGAGTGACAGTCTATAATTTCAAATAAGACTCTGAAGAGGATCATGCCCTCTCCCTTTTCCAAGAGAGAAAGTCTAACAATCTCCGGATACCTGACCTGTCTTCTGTACCAAGGAAGAATGTGTGAACATAGCAGCTGCTGTCCCCTAAAAACAAACAAACAAACAAACAAACAAACAAAACCAGCCCTTTCTGCTGGGTGTCAGTGGCTCCTGCATGTCATCCTAGCTACTCAGGAAGCTGAGATCTGAGGATCATTGTTTGAAACCAACCCAGGCAGAAATGTCATTGAGACTCTTATCTCCAACAAACTATTCAGAAAAAGCTGGAAGTGGAGCTATGGCTCCAGTGGTAGAATGCTAGCCTTGAGCTCAAAGAGGCTCAGAGACAGCGCCTAAGCCCAGAGTTCAAGCCCCAGGAGCAGCAAAAAAAAAAAAAAATCCAGCTCGGCTGGTGCCAGTGTCTCACATCTATAATTCTAAATCCATGAGACTCTTTATCTCCAATTAAACTCTGGCCAGGCCTAGAGTTCAAGCCCCATGACCAACCAAAAAAAACAAAAAACAAAAACCAGCCCTCTCCTAATTGGTAAACACAAGGGAGATTCCAATATTAGTAGGAAAATATTCATAATGCTGTTGTATAAGTGTGTGTGTTCTTGCCAATTCTCTTGCCCTCCAATCAGGCCAGATCAACACACTGTAATTGTTTCCTCTACATCTGTCATACTTGATACATTGTGAACTCTCCAGGTAGGGGATGGGCCTGTCTTACTCATCTTGGTGTTTTAAAGCCCTAGGACACTGTAGGCATAAAATGAGTGTAGTGCATATTAACTGTAAAGAACTCTACTCAGCCTACTCTGATCTGATGATCTTTGTAGATGAGGTCATTATTCATTCTCTCCTCTCTCTCTCTCTCTCTCTCTCTGTAATGGAGTTTGGACTCAGGGTTCAGTTTGCTCAGCTTGTTTGCTTAGCTGGTGGTCTACAAATCCTGAGCTAATCTTCAGGATTGACTTCGCACATCCCCACTCCCATTCCCCATTTTAGAGATTGAGTCCCATGGACTTTTCTGCTCCAACTGGCTTTGAACTTTTTTTTTTTGGCCAGACTTAGGGCTTGAACCCGGTGTCTGAACACTGTCTCTGAGCTTCTGCTCAAGGATAACACTTTACCACTTAAGCCACAGCACTACTTCCAGGCTTTGAACTTTTATCCTCCAGATTTCAGCCTCCTGAGTAGCTAGGATTACAGGTGTGAGCCACTAGAGTCAAGCTTATTTCCTGATTTCAAAATATTACTGATAGGCTGGACACATGCTGGCTCATGCATATAGTCCTAACTATTAGAGACTGAGATCTGAGGATCTATGTGCGAAGCCAGCCAGGAAGGAAAATCTGTAAGACTCTTTTGTCTTGTTTTGTTTTGTTTGCCAGTCCTGGGGCTTGAACTCAGGGCCTGAGCACTGTCCCTGAGTTGCTTTTTGCTCAAGGCTAGCACTTTACCATTTGAGCCACAGTACCACTTCCAGCTTTTTCTGTTTATGTGGTACTGAGGAATTGAACCCAGGGCTTCATGCATGCTAGGCAAGCAGTCTACCACTAAGCCACATGCCCAACTGTTAAGACTCTTATCTTCAATTAATCACACACATAAAAGCTGGAGGTGGACCTATGGCTCAAGTGATAGAGTACTAGCTTTGAACTAGCTTTGAGCAGAAAGCTCAGGGATGGTGCCCAGGCCCTGAATTCAAGCCCTAGCACCATCACACACACACACACACACACACACACACACAGCTCATCGATAGGTTGGTTTACAGCTATTATACCTATTTACCAGTCTCAAAAGCAAAACACATGCAATTATATAGAGTATGAAATACTTGTAACAAATGACTAAGGTACTGCTATATATGTTTACTATGCCATATCTCATCATTTTTTATTTTCTTAAGTTTTTTGCTGGTCCTGAAGCTTG